CGCCCGCCTTCCGAAGGGCCCCTGAGCCCCACACCGCGTAGGAGCTCGAGGGTGCGGGAGGGAGGGAGTCGCAAGCCACCCATTTCCTGAGTGGGGCAAGGGGGTGCGGGTGGGGTGCTGTCTCCTGGGCTGTTGTCCTGGCACCCGTCCCCAGTGACCAGGGCGCCCAAGGGGCTCAGGTAGCGCCCGCTTGACGTCCTGGGTGCGAGGCTGTCACCACCCGATGATCCAGACCGCGGCTGTCCTAGGCCTCCCAGCACCGCTGTTTCCGCAGGAAGGTGCTGAGGCAGGAGTCAGGCCTGGGCTGCCATCACCCATTCATTGATCCTCAATGATACAGTCACACCGCACTTCTCCAGCAGTTCGATTCTCAACCAAGTTGTTCACACACAAAAAAGTCTCGGTTGTTGACCAAAACTTCAGTTTTGGACCTGACAGCCTTTCATGCTGAGACCTCTGCCTGACAAAAAGCATCTCTCCCGCAACAAAGGAAAGAATGCTTTTGTGATTAGCACATTTTTCAAACAGAAAGAGTGCTAATGTTGCTAAGGGTGTGAACGGGCTCATAAGGTAACAAGCACAGTCAGTTGAATAGGTAGAAAAATTTGTTTGTATAAAGGAAAAGCAGTTAGCCAGTGGTAGCACTTCAGAGGCAGTGATATATGGAAAATCAGTTTAAGGCTAATAGAGGGTGTTTCAATAAATTTAAGAAAAGAAGTGCTTATTTATAGATTAGACATGTACTGTATATACTAGTAAGAAAGGTTAAAATGGAATCATTTGGAATTTTGGAACAGATTAATTCAATTTACATTCTTTCTGATGGGAACAAATGATTCAGTTTTCTAACAAATCACTTCTCCAACAGCTTTCCAGAACGAATTAAGTTCAAGAACTGAGGTTCAGTGTGCTAAGTATTTACTTTGTGTCAAACATTGAGCTAGGTACTGGGATACAATGTCTGATACGACAACTCGGTTCCTGCCCGCAGTACACATAGAAGCTAGTATGGTAGCTTAGCTTCCCCCTCTGTCCATATTCATATGCTGGCCCTCTCTTCTCCCAGGTCTTGCCTGTGGTGACCACAATGCCCCAGGCCTCTGAGCACCGCCTGGGCCGGACCCGAGAGCCACCTGTCAATGTCCAGCCCCGAGTGGGATCCAAACTACCATTTGCCCCCCGGGCTCGCAGTAAGGAGCGTCGAAACCCAGCCCCTGGGCCAAACCCCATGTTAAGGCCTCTGCCTCCCCGGCCAGGTCCACCTGAGGAACGGCTCAAGAAACTGGAGCTGGGACAAACACGGACCTCAGGCCCTCGTCCCAGAGGCCCCCTTCGGGCAGATCATGGAGTTCCCCTGCCTGGCTCACCACCCCCAGCTGTGGCTCTGCCTCTCCCAACCAGGACCAACCTAGCCAGGTCCAAGTCTGTGAGCAGTGGGGACTTGCGACCAACAGGGATTGCCTTGGGAGGGCATCGAGGTGCTGGAGAGCTAGGGGCTGCACTGAGCCGCTTGGCGCTCCGGCCTGAGCCACCCACTTTGAGACGTAGCACCTCTCTCCGCCGCCTAGGGGGCTTTCCTGGGCCCCCCACCTTGCTCAGTATACGGACAGAGCCCCCTACTTCCCATGGCACTTTCCGCGTGACATCTGCCCGGCCCTCCAAGCCTTTCTACTTCGATGACAAGATGGTGAGGACTTGTCAGCACATGTGACCTTCCATTCCCATGTTCCTCCAGCTTTCTCGCCATCATATGGCTTTCCTCCCCACCCCCACCCCATCCCAAGTTCCTTTCTCAGCCCCTCATTGCAGCATTTGGACTCTAATCTCCCTTCCTTATCCTTCAGGGTTGTCTGTCACTCCCCCGCATGGTGCACCACTTCAGTCCCCAGGGATTTAACCCAGCCATTTGGAATTCTCCTTTGGGTCCCCCAGGCCCTTACTCTCCCTTGCCTTCTCTCCTAGGACACTGCCTAGGCCCATGATGGCGAGCCTTTTGAGCTCGGCGCGTCAGCATTTTGAAAAACCCTAACTTAACTCTGGTGCTGTGTCACATATAGAAATTTTTTGATATTTGCAACCATAGTAAAACAAAGACTTATATTTTTGATATTTATTTTATATATTTAAATGCCATTTAACAAAGAAAAATCAACCAAAAAAATGGGTTCGCATGTCACCTCTGACACGCGTGTCATAGGTTCGCCATCACTGGCCTCGGCCTAATTAACCTCTGGAGCTGAGGAGGGGCAGGTTCAGGAAATCTGAGCTAGTGTGGTCGCCCATTTCTTGAGCAAGTGAGCGAGGCTGATTGCATTTGGAGCATCAGGAGAGGGAGCCGGAAAGGGCCACGGGGGCAGGAGCGGGCCTTGGACACAACAAGGTGGGGGTGGGGAGCAGCTGGGCAACCATTTCAGTGCTTGGGCAGCTCGTTGCCCTGGGAGCTATTTTGCCGGCCAGCTGGGCAGAGGAACAAGTGGAGAACAGGTGGGACTGGCATGGCTGAGTCTGTGGTGCACTCAACTGTAATGGGCTTACTGCTCATGTCCAGTGAGGTAGGGAGACCCCAATACCCGGTGAGGGAGGAGATGAGGGTGTAGAGTTTGGTGAAGTATTGGGGGGAGCGGCAAAGCAGTGGGCAGCATGCTGTTGAAAGGTTAAAGGGTCACACGGGCTGTATGGGAACCTGCTGACAGCACTCTGACCTTCCAGGCTCATCACACACTGCTTCTGGGCTCTGGTCATGTTGGCCTCCGAAATCTGGGGAACACGGTGAGAGCCATTCTCCTGTCCTTCCTTCCTAACAGGAATGGGGAGCGGTGCTGGGCGGGAACTTGGCTGGCTTGGGGAGGGGGCACTGCCACTCCTCTAAGTCTCCCTGGGCCCCGTCTGGAGAGGTAACGGCAGTGTCTCTGCTGCTCCCTAGTGCTTCCTGAATGCTGTGCTGCAGTGTTTGAGCAGCACTCGGCCTCTCCGGGACTTCTGCCTGCGAAGGGACTTCCGGCAAGAGGTGCCTGGAGGGGGCCGAGCCCAAGAGCTCACTGAAGGTGGGGCAACAACTCCTGTCCCTCCTGCCTTTCAAATCCTCTTCTCCCCACCCCCCTGCAGGTCCACCTGCCAATGCTGGCAGCTCCAGCCTCCAGTCTGGCAGTTGTACCTTTTTCCTGGTGCCACTGTGTAAAGTCTGTTTCCGCTTCCGAGCCGCCTCTTGCCTCTTCCAGGACTAACCTGTGTTTCCCTTCCCCACTCCCACCCCAATAGCCTTTGCAGATGTGATTGGTGCCCTGTGGCACCCTGACTCTTGTGAAGCTGTAAATCCTACTCGGTTCCGAGCTGTCTTCCAGAAATACGTGCCCTCCTTCTCTGGATACAGGTGGGAGAGCTGGAGGGCGTGGGATTTCCCTCTGGCCATGTCTGGGGATAGGACCAGGCAGGGGTCCTGGCAACAATATTCTGAGCCTTGAGATGGTCTTAATCCAGGAGGTGGGGACCAGTGTCTGGCAGGGGACGGTGTCTGGACTAGGGGATCAGTTGCCCATACTCTTTGGCTGTAGCCAGCAGGATGCCCAGGAGTTCCTGAAGCTCCTCATGGAGCGGCTACACCTTGAAATCAACCGACGAGGCCGCCGGGCTCCCCCAATCCTGGCCAGTAGCCCAGCTCCCTCTCCACCCCACCGTGGAGGGGCTCTGCTAGAAGAGCCGGACTTAAGGTAAGGTTCTCCCACGCCCTTTTCTCCACAGTAGTTTACCAATAGCATCTTCCTTCACAGAACAGTAGTCAGGACAGGAGTAGGTCCAGGAAAATGCATGGCTTAGAAATGGGTTGAGAAGCAGTGCAGAGCGGGAGGCTGGAGCAGATGGAGGCAGAGGCAGTGCTGGGATGTCCCCATGTTGAAGGAGGAGGGAGAGTTAATTGACAACAAGGCACATAAAGGGCCTGAAGCCGGTGGAGGAAGACAACATGTTCTTCCTTGTCTAATCCCTTTACTTTCCCCAGAAAGTCCTCTGAAGCCTTACTCCTCTTCCTTGAAATTTAGAGAAGGGATCAACCGAAGGACTTATATGCATGCATATAAGCACAACCAATGGACACAAGACACG